AAATGTTTCCTTGTTTTCCCACTTGCTGCTCGGGGCTGGCCTGTTGCTCCCTGTCACTCCCATCCAGCCCGGGCTGTGCCTGGACTCAGGGTCTGGGTGCTGCTCCTGAGAGAGCCCAGCTGGGGAAGCAGCGTTGAACGGGGATTCTGGGGATACAGGAGGGAAAAGCAGTGTTAGGTGTGTTGGAGCTGCTTAGAAACAGGAAAGAGGCTGTTCCTTGGGGTGAAGGGGGAAAAGGCGCCTTTCAGGTGGATTTGGGGCCGGCGCCGTGCGGGATGTGGAGCTGGAGGAGGAGATCAGGCTGTGCGGGGCCGGGCCATGCTCCGTGACTCAGCCCCGCCGCCCTTCCCACGCCGGCAAGTCCCTTCCTGCTCCACCGGCACGGGCCGGGCCTGCTCCACCCGGGATAAACCCCCAGAACCCTCCCACATCTCGGGTTATTCCTGCCCTGCTCCGGCTGCAGGCTGTCCCCGGAATGCTGTCCCGGGAATGGTGTCCCGGGGGATGCCGCTGTCCCAGGATGGTTTCCCCAGGGATGCCCCTGTCCCTGGGGATGCTGTCCCGGGGATGGTTTCCCGGGTGTTCCACATTGCAATGCAAGATGTATTCTACTTCCATCTGTATGGCAGATTACCTTTGTCAAGTGGGCAGTTTGCCTTATCTCTCTCTTTGAGTGACCACATTCACACCTCCCTGGGAGGGGACATTGCTGATAACAGCTATTGAATGTCCCTGCATGGCTGATAAGAACTACAGCATCCCATTGGGAGATGGGAGCCCAGAGGGAGGAGCCAAGCATTCCTACCCAGATATAATCCAGAGGTTTTGAGACACCAGCACGGCTTCTCCACTGGATTCCCCAGAGGAACAGCAGCTGCCTCTCCTTCCCCTGGATCTTCAGAGGAAGAATCCATCCTTCTCTACAGGATCCTGCTCCAGCAGAACCACCCCTGACACTGCAGGAGGGCTGAGCCACAATTCCAATGGGACTGCTGCCAACACCCTGACCCACAGGGTGTCAGGTTGGGTTCTGACTCTGGCAGTGTTGTTATTGTGTACTGCATTGTTTATTTTATCCTCTTATTTTTTTCTTCCCTATTAAAGAAGTGTTATTCCTGCTCCCATATTTTTTGCCTGAGAGCCCCTTAATGTAAAATTTATAGCAATTGGGAGGGATGGGGAGGGTTTACATTCTCCATCTCAGGGGAGGCTCCTGCCTTCCTTAGCAGACTCCTGGCTTTCCAAACCAAGACACCGGGGGATGCTGTCCTGGGGGATGCCACTGTCCCGGATGGTTTCCGGGGACGCTGATGTCCCAGGGGATGCTGTCCTGGCAGCTTGGATCTGTAACCCCGGCTCTGACCCCAAGCACACCTCGAGGCATCACCTCAGCAAGGAGCAGCTTTTCCCATAAATCCCAAAGCCTGTGGCAGGGCAGGGCCCAGCTCGGCCTCTCCTGGCCATGGGGCGGATTTGGGGATGTGCAAACTCCTGACGCTGTTTGATGTTCACTCCTCTGCTGCTGGTTTCTGGTTAGGACAGGATCCTCCTCAGCGTGTTCTGGGTGGAGCAGAGCCAGAGGATGGAAGTGGAGCCCAGGACACGCTCTGGGATGGAAGGAGACCCCTGCATGGTGTGCACACATGAAGAAACCTCCACAGATGGAGCAGCACCCCAGTCCTGCAAAGCCAGGCACAAGAAATGGGGACACCAAGAAACACATCCAGCAAATTCTCTGCTGAGTTATGGAGAACCAGCCAGGAATTGCAGCAGGGAGGATCTCCTGGCAGCAGAGCAGCTCCAGGGATGTGCCTCATGCTCAGCTCTCACCTCAGGGTCTCACCCTTTCCTCCAGGTTTCCCTCGCTGATTTCCTGCTGTGGTTTGCGTGTGGGTGACACTGAGCAGCTCCTGCTGGTCCAGGGATGCACTCCCAGGCTCTTCCCCTCCCTAAACAATTCCCCTTGCAAAGCCCAGGGCAAGGCCAGGAGTCACCGCTGGATTAACCCAGGCTGGGTGCAGGAGCACAATGAGCCCTCATTACAGCACCCATTAATGAGCAGGGTTTGGTAATGAGCTGAGCCTTTCTCTGCCCCATCCTGCGGCCACTAAAACGTTAAAGGGAGGAAAAACCAGTCTCTATCTCCTGCTGTGGGTGGGCCTGCCTTGCCTTATCTCATCTCATCTTTGGGAATCCAAGCCCTGGGTGATGGTGCCAATGCTGGGTAAGGGCACCATCCCCTGCCCAGGCTGGGGGAACCTCCCCCTGAACCCCCTCCCCATGGGGCTGGAGCCAAAGGGCTGAGCTTTATCTAAAACATGGATTAAATCTGTGCTGGGCCCTGAGGTGTGTGTGCAGCCCACTGTCCCTCACCTGCCATCACACCCCTGGTGCCTAAAGCTGTCCCTGAGCTCATTAGGGTCACCACACCCAGCCCAGGGGCCACTTAATGAATTGATTGGGGGCTCTGAAGGTGGGTGTTGGGCTAAGCCACCCCATGCCTGCCTCCTTTGAGCCCACACACCTCGAGCACCTGAATTTTAGGGCATATTTAAAACATCCCCTGCCCAGGCACAGGCATTTGTCCATCCTGAGAGCCAGGGGGAGCACCAGATGGGCAGCAGGGTGGGAAATTGCCTGCGTTTAGGAGGCAATTCCCTGCCTGGATCAGAGCATGGTATCCCAGCAAAACTCAGCTTGTGCCCACCTGGGAGCTCGGATTTGATGCTCAACTGAGGTGGGTGGTACTGGGCATCAAATCTGAGCTCCCAGGTGGGCACCAGGCTGGTGCTGGGCCCAGGTGTCCTCATCAGCTGAAACATTTGAACTGAATATAATAGAAAAGGAAAGGAGACAAGAAACTGCTGGGACCTAATGAAGGTGAAAGCTAAGGAATATATTGGGAGTAGGGAAGTGCTGAGCCCTTCTGGGTAGGGAAAGGAGCTGCAGCACATGGTCTGAATTAGAAATGAGGATTAAGGAGTCCCTGAGCTTGTGTTTTCATGGATTTCAGGGCACACATCATCTAAGGAGAGGTGTGAGAGCGAGTTGAGAGTGGCAGGGACTGCAGCTTATGGGATGGGGTGACCCTATGGTACCTACCAGGACAAGCTTATCAAGACCCAATTTTATCAGCCTGGGTGTTTGTGACCCACTCCTGACCCCACCCAGGTGTGAATCTGAGCCCCTGCAGAAGGCTGAGGTCTCCTGGCCAAGGCAGCTGCAGTTCTGCAGGGCTGAGCTCCTGCCAGGCACCCCAGCAGGGAGTGCTGGGGGTGACTTAATCACATTTAATCACATTTTCTGACTCCTCCATCACTGCAGAACCGTTGTTTGGGTTTTCCAAGAGGCTGCTAATTCCTTATCACTCTTGTTTTGTGTTTTTTTGCACTTCAGAGATATTTCAGGAGCTGTGTTTGGACGGCCCTGGAGGGGTTATGTCCTTGGATGGCTCTGGAAGCAAAATGTGTGCTGGGGGAGGGGTGAGGAGGGAGGCAGGACAGTGGCTGGGGAGGCCACCCCGAGGGCTGGGTCGTGTTTAAAATTTCACCTTTGATGCATCATCAAAGCTGGGTTTAGGGGAAAAAAAGGGCTGGGGATTGTGAGGTGTTACCCTCAGCCATTTGGGCACGTCAGTGTTGCTGCCCCTGGATTTTGTGCTAATTGTGATTTTTCTTTTTCTTTCTTTTTTAAAAAATGCATCTGAAGGTTTTCTTCAAGCCCAGCTTAGGCAGCTGTGTGACCCCATGGATTCTCAGCTTTCCTGGAAAAGGGAACTTCTAGCTGCTTCCCCTGAGGAGGAAAACAGGAGATGACAGCACTTAATGATGTTCCTGGTGGGAATATTAAGCACAGTTTGGAGCAGAGCCCCATTTCCCCAGCCCCAGGTGTCTGATGCCCAGGACAGCAGCTCTGTGGGTGCTCCCCGTGGTGCCAGGTGTTTGTGGCATGGGCAGGGGGCTGGATGTGACCCCTGTGTCAGTCTCCTCTCCTTGGAACACAGCTCAGCCTCAAACACTGCCCTGCCACGGCGCTGCTCCATCAGATGTTGGGTCCTGGCAGAACTGGAATGGAATTTTGCCCCTCAGATTAACTCCCCATCAATGGGCCAATGGCACAGAAAGTTAAGGAGTTTCTTGCTGCCCCCGGTGAATTTCAAGTATTTTCTTTGGCTTTGATGCATCATTGAAACCATGGCAAAAGCAGGTGGAAAACTGCACGCGTGCTGCTGCAAGGAGTGATTGATATGATGCTCCCAATTACACTTAATTGTGGTTATCCTATTAACAACAGCCTCGTTCTGTGGCACACACCTGCCTCTCCACGGGAAACACTCTTAGCATCACTTAAAACATCAATTACACGTGATGGAAAAGCAGCAATTAAATCCACTAAGCCTTGTCCAAATAATTATTTCATTTCCCTGTACTATTTTTAATATTATAAAGGCAGTTTCTTCAAAGCAATTCTTTTATTTGTGTGATCTCCTATTTATCCATGCAGGAACATGGGTGGAGAGCAGGCCTGGGTTTGCAAGGATTTATGGAGAGGGGGATGCATGGTTAGGGTAGGAAAACCCTCATTTTAAGCTTTTACTGTTAAAAAAAAATGTGTGGATGTGGCATTTGGGGACACGGGTTAGTGGTGGCCTTGACAGTGCTGGGGGAATCTTGCACTGGATGGTCTGAGAGGGCTTTTCCAGCCTTCATGACTCCATGGTTCTGTGGGGAACGGGCTGGTGATGTTCTCCAGGTGTTTCTGGTTCCAAGCAGTGATCTGAAGCACCTGGTCAGGCCCAAACGAGCTGGGCTTGCCCTGGAGGGTTTGTGGTGGGGTAGAAGGCCTCCTCTTCTTCTACCTAGGCGTAGAAGCAGGGGAAAGAAGGAATCTCCCTCTCTGAGACGGGGAACAAAGAAGCTTGAAAGAAGATAACGGAGTTAGAGTAACTCCATTTGGGAACCAGAACCCTGGATAAAATCGAGGTAAATTTAATTCCCGCCATGTGGGCGGCTCAGTAGTGATGGAAGAGCTGGTGTTGGGTGCTCTGAGTGTGCCGGAGCAAAGTGTCCTGTTGTCACCGGGGAAGGGACATTGGGGATGATGTGGCTCCAGCCCCGGGCCCTTGTGGGGGACAGAGCGCGGTCCCCTCAGAGCCCGGAGCCCTCAGAGCCCGGCCTGGGGCTCGGCCTGCGGGGCCGGGGGTGCCGGGGCTGCGTGGGCCGGGCCGGGGCCGCGGCCGCGCTTCCTCCGATTGTTCTGCTCGCCGGAGCGGGGCGGGGACACGACAGGGACACAGCGGGGACACAGCGGGGACAGCGACCCCCGAGAGCTGCGTGCGGGCATCGCCCCCAGCCCCAAGCAGCTCCGGCGGGACAGCGCGGCCGGGCCGGGGCGGCGCCGGGCGGGCGGGGGGGCTGGGCCCGGCGGGCGGGCGCTCGGCGAACCCGCAGCGATCCCTCAGAGATCCCGCAGCGATCCCTCAGAGATCCCGCAGCGATCCCCGCGGCTCGCAGCGCGGCCGGCACCGCACGGAGCGGCCGCTTCGCCTCGCCTCGCGTCGCTCGCCGTCGGTGCCGTGTGCGCGCAGCGGCGGCGGCGGCGCCGGGCGGGCCCCGACGGGACGGGGCTGCGGGGGATGCGCGGAGCAGCACGGCCCGCGGCGGGCCCCGGTGGCCGCCCCCCGAACCCCGCTGCCCGCGGGCGGGCGCCGGGGACGGCCCGAGCCCGGCTCGGGGGGGGCCGCGCCGCCGCCCCCTGAGCGCTCCGCCGGCCCTGCCGGGGCTCCCGGCCCGGGGCCGGCGGGGAGCGCCCGGCGCAGCCGGGAGGGCGGCGGGAGCGGCTCCCGGTGCGGGGCTGCTCTCTGCTCGTGCTTTTCAACTCCCTCTCAGGAGCTCGCACCTTCGGGCGCTTTTAAAATTTTTATTTTGTTATTCTTTTTGGTGGTTTAAAACTTTTTTTTTTTTAAGATTTTTGTTTTAAAAAAAACATTTCAACTCTCCGACGCCAGCGCAGAGTTTTACCGTGATCACCGGGACCGCGTGAGCGTGCGGCGCCGAGGCCATGCGGTGAGCGAGGTAAGAGCGGGTTGGCACCGGGACCGGCACCGGGACCCCCGAGCCCCGGCCCGGGCTGGGGCTGCCCCCGGAGCCGCGGCTTCAATGAGAGTGAAGCCTCGCATCACTTCTCTGACCCCATAAATCCGTGTCACCTCCGCAGGTACCTGCAGGACAAACCCTCCTGTCCCCCAGAACGGTCACAAAGCCGCGAAGTTCGGATTAGTTTCGCAAAACCTCCCTTTTTGATAGAACATCACGTGGGAATCTTTTCTTTGTTGGGGTTTTTGGCTGTGTCGGAGCTGCTGAGGAAGCACCAGCCCGAAGCTGAGCGGGGCAGTTCCTGCCGTGCCCGGGTCTGGGTTTATTTTCCGTGTGTGGGAATTGAGCGGTTTGAGCCGGGTTTACACCCGTGTGAGCTCCCGAGAACGGGGTCACTGCTCGCCCAGGGTGATTCAGGGTGCGTTTGAGTCCAGGGGAACATTTCTGTGGGCTCTGGTGGGAGTTCCGTGCTTGGGAGCGTTCAGTTAGTGGTTTTAGTGGTTTTGGGGAAGCTGACGGCGAGAAACTCTCACTGAGGCGTTCACAGAGCCTGGCCGGAGGGTCCCTGTTCCCACCTCCACCTTGGTGCGTTGGTTTTACACCTGAACATTTATGAGATGAGAGATTTCAAAACGCGGGGATTAATGGCTGATATCACCTCCCTGCTCCTCCCTCGGGTTTTGTTATAAAACAAGGCACGAATCCTTCCTGGGTGACGACAGATCCCGGCAGCAGGACCGGGCTGCGGTGCCGGGACAGCCCCGAGCCCACGGGCTGGCTGCTCACAGCCGATTAAACCCTGGCTCTGCCGGGTCCAAACTGCTGGAACTGTTCGAATCAAGTATTTATGGAATGCTGCTCACTCCCTGCCCGGTATCGTCTCTGATTGGCTTTGTGGAAAGTAAAATTGCCAAATTTAGGTCTGTTACAGTAAGTGCTGGTGCAGGTGGATGCTTTGCTGGCGCTCCTGCCCGGAGGGTTTGGGTGCCCTGCTCCAGTGCTGGCAGGACGGCTCATTCCAGTGACTTTTGGTGCCTCATTGACCAGACAGGGACTGGGAGTGCTGAATTTCTGCTGTGCCACCTCGTTTTCCTGGAATTAATCTGATTTCTGTGCATTGCAAGGAAGGCTGGCCGGGTGTTAGTGTTGGGTGGAGAGGGAACACTGTGCTGCCACTCCTTTCTGGAATCCAGGGAATTTACAGACTCAGCCACCCTGAGTCCCCCTGTGTGACACTGAGGTGCCCACTGTTGCCTCAGGGAGGGCTCTGTCCTTCAGAGGTGACAGTGACCTTGCTGTCTTGCTCTCCTGCTGCCCCAGGAGCTGTCCCAGAGCTCAGGAGCTTGTCCAGGTGGGACTCCAGGAGCTCTGGGTGGTGCCATCACTGGCACAGGTGCTAAGGGATGGTCCAAGGGAAGAAGCTGCTGGTGGGGAGGAGGGAGAGGCAGGTGCATCATCACATGGGGAGGGAAAATGCATCCCCTCCTTGGGGGAGCCTCCTGATGAAGTACAGCTGGAAGTAAAGCAGAAAGGTCTGCTTTGGAAAGATGAGTCTAGAAATTACACTTGAGATAAAAGCCACAGGTGCAACAAGTTGATTTCGGTCCTTTGCTCCATTTTTGGTTCATCCTACGCCTGTTTTAAAGTTATTTCTTCCCATCCTGGTTCTCAAGCTCCGGAGGTTCCTGCCTGCTGTTATTGCTCCTTTTCCTGAGCGCTGATTGCTCTCAGCCATCCTGTTCAGTGGGGTTTTGTTTTCTCCAGCTTGCAGGCTCTTCTGGAACTTCCAGGTGAAGTTCAAGAATGGGTTTGCTTTTCGATTTACTTTAGTAAGCCTCAGCAATAGTCTGGGACATCCCAGATCTGAGCTGGGGAGCTGAAAACCCCACAGTTAATTACTGGAGCCCAGTGACACTTGGAGCAGTTACTTCTGCCTGTGTTCCTGCTGCTGTATTTGTGTCTGGTGATCCCAAAGACTTCCCCAATTTTTGAATATGAGCTGATTTAATAAAATTCCTCTGCCTCAGGGTGGGTGGGAGCTGCTTCTTCCCTGCCCCTCCATGGGCCAGGTTCCTGCTGGCACCATGAGCCAGGGATGTCACCATGTGTGCAGCCTGTGGCCCCCTGCCAGCCTTGTTTCAGGGCATGAACATCACCAACTTGGCTTTTTGTGGGGTGTTTTTTATGAAAAGTTTGTTGCATTTGGCCTTCTTGCACGTAGCCTGCAATAGCTGTGGGAAGGAGGTTATTCCTGGCTTGGTGCTGACATTAGGACACTGTATTATTTTTCCGTTAAATGACAGATTTATTGGAGTTTTCTTCATCTGCACGGTCTGACCTGAAAACCTGCGTTGGAATTTGCCAGAAGGGGGCATTTTGCAAACATCACAAAGGATTTTGGTGGCGGGGAGATGAGCAGGGTGAGCCTGGCTGGAGGATTAGGCAGCGATGCTTGTCTGGGAACCACGCAGTTTTGGGGGAAATTCTTGTGCAAATAAACACCAACAAATGAATTTTGGGTCATTTAGGGCTGAGTGCAAGGAGGCCAGCTCCCAATCCCACTGCAGCCTGCTGGCTCCCAGTAGTTGGTAAAATAAGAAACTGTGGAGTAGCCTTGGATTTTTTTTTTCTCTGAGGAAACTTTAAAAATGTTTTCCAGTTATCTCCCAGTAATTGTTTTTTGGTGTAGGTTGAGTTCTGGTGTTCTTGCATGAGGTTTCTTTGCTGTTCTTCTCTGGAAGGAGGGTTGGAGCCCACAGCTCTGTGTTGCCTCTGTTGGAAGGTGGTGCTGAGCTGCTCATCCTGCCCAGTAAAGCCAGTCCTTCTCTGGGGCCCACCAGGAGCTGTGCTGGGCTCTGGGGTTGGTTTTTTGCAGGGATTGTGTGCTGGATTTGGGGCCTCACCAGCTCTGGCCTCACCTCTTCTGTCCCCATCCCAAACCCAGAGCCCTCCTTAATCCTGGCATCAAGGCTTGGCTTTTTCTGCCCTTCAGCATTTACCTGCTGCAGGTGCAGGGGGATTTTAAGGGCTCATGGGGTCAGCCCTGCCCTGGTGCCCACAGCCTGGGCTGGTGGGAGCATCTGTGTGGGTGGGATCCTCATCCTCCCTTCAGCCCTGGGGAGAACAAGGCAGAGGCTAATCAGGGGAGCTGATGGAAGAAATGGGGTGAAAACCTTGTTTCTGTTTCCCTGGTTCCCTCTTTGATGTGTCAGCTGCTGGCTCACAGTTTGTGTGCTAAATCCAGCAGGAAAGGAGTGGATTTGGGCACTTGTGTTCATTCCAGGAGGTCTCATGGAGGTGCTGGAGCATCCCCAGTGGTTCAGGATCCTGCTAAGCCAGGCTCAGGTGCCATCACCCATTTCCTGAGCTCTTTCCTCCTGCAGTAAATGCTGACCTCTCTGCACATCCAGAGTGATGGGCTTCCTGGGCTGATGGGGAAGGTGTGCAGAAATAAAACCAAATCTTAAAAACACCTTCATGCTACTCCTCTCTCCTTCCCAGGCTTGACTTCTCTCCCAGTTTCTTCCCTTTCTCTCCCTTGGTGGTGCAGGGTGATGGAGAGTGGTGGCTGTGACCAATTCATCCATCACACCTTGGCTCTGCCCCTTCTTCCTTCTCAGGGCGCTCCTTGCACTCCTCCCCTGCTCCAGCCTGGGATCATCCTCCATTCCTGCTTTGCTATAGGAGCTTGTCCTTGGCTTTTCTCAGGGTTTGGGGCTGTGCTGATCCCTTGTTCCAGACAGAAGCTCCAGCTCTGGAGCATTTTGGCTGCGGATGCAGCCTCTGGTGCCTGATGCCATCAGAACCTCTGTCCTTGCTGTACCTGTGCCGTCTTTCCAGGAGAGATGGAGAGATTTCCATGAGCCTCCCAAGCTCCAGCCTGCTCTGTGCTGCTTTCCCAAGCACTGCAGGATATGAAACATCTGTGAGAGAAAAGCCAGGTCCAGATGTTGAAAGAAGCTGCTGCAGTAATGATTATCCCCAGCCTGGATGGCTCCTGTTCCAAGCCACCGGTGTGGTTTTTTTCCCTTCTTCCCAGCCTGGGCTCAGTTGTGGTGCTTTCCCTGTTGCCAGAGGAGCATCCCAGCAGGGGCAGGAGCCTGGAGGAGCTGCCCTGGTGCTGTGTTGCTGTGGCAGAGCTTTCCCAGGGTGTTTTCTCCCCGGAGCTGGCGCGCGCCGCCGCACAGGAAATTCTGGTTGCACCATTATTGCAGAGCCTATTGTTTGGGGCAAGGGCAGGATTCGGGCTTGCTCACATCCTCCAGTGTCTCACTGTGCTGAAAGGATGTGGTGGGATAGCCAGGGCTGCAGGAGGAGCACAAAACTCCAAGCTGGGGTTGTGCAGGGTTCATGCTTAGCCCAGATCCCTGCGTTTCTGACCAAACCCGCCCCTTTGGTTTTCCATGGGAAACCTCGGGGTTAAGGAAAACTTGGAGTGAGGATTGAGCAGGGCACAGTCCTTTGTTGCAGTTGGCAGTGTTTTGCTGCTCAGCCTGCTCCTGTCTGTGGCTGGTGTGTGGTGGGCACCTTGGGTAGCCAGGGGGGTGGAGCAGGTGCACCCTGAGAGATGTAAAATCAGGGTTTGTGGGGTACAGAACCCACCGAGCACTGCTGGAGATGGCAGCACACGTGGCCTGGCTCTCGGGGTGTGTGCAGGCAGGCA